TGATTTTCACCAATTTCTGCAGTCTGAAATTGACCAAACATGCAATCAATATGTATTGAAAATTTCCATTGTTTAGAATTTGAAAGTTGGAAACAAAGAAGAATCATAGGCAGTTAGAAAATATGGCCTTGGTCATATAAATGATACTGAAGATCACATGATGGAATTTTGCAAGACCAACAACATATTCTTTGAAAATACTTTTTTCAAAAACATAAACAACAACTATACACGTGGATTCCATCAGATGGAATATACAGGAATCAAATTGCCTATATTTGTGGACAACAGCTCTAGAGAAACTCAGTATCATTCATAAGAACAAGGCCATCAATTGCTCATATGTAAGTTCAAGTTGAAGCCGAAGAAAATTAAAACAAGAACATGAGAGCCAAACCATGACTTCAATTATTTCCCACCTGAATTTAGAGAATTAAATTATTCCTTCAGTGTAGGGATTCTCCCTTTAATACCCCCAATACCATCAGTTAATCATCATGTATTACCTCCTGTAATGGCTGAATAATAGATTTGATGCATTGAATACCAGTGACCACAGACCAGATGAGTTGTGGGATGACATCAAAGACATCATACGTGAAGAAAGCAAAAGGTCATTAAAAAGACACAAAAGAAAGGAAAGGCCAAAATGGATGTCAGAAGAGACTCTGCAACCTCCTCTTGAACAGAGAACAGATAAAGTGAATGAAAGAAATGACGACGTAAAAGAGCTGAACAGAAGTTTTCAAAGGGCGTATAAGGAACACAAGTATTATAATGAAATGTATGAAGAACTGGAATTAGAAAACAAAAACAGAAGAACTCGCTCAGCATTTCTCAAGCTGAGAGAACTGAATATAAAATTCAAGCCTCAAGTTGCAATATTTAAGGATTCTATGGGCAAAATTTGAACAATGCAGAAAGCATCAGAAGATGATGTAAGGAATACAGAGGCACTCTACTAAAAAGAATTGGTCAATATTGAGCCATTACAGGAGGTAATATATGTTGAAGAATTGGTGGTATTGAAGGTATTAAAGGAAGAAACCCAAGCTACACTGAAGGGATTAGCAAAACAAACAAACAAAAAACCCAATGGCTCCAATAATTGAAGGAGTATGCAGTGAGATATTTCAACAAACAGATGCAGTGCTGGAGGGGTTTATTAATTTATCCTATGAAATTTGGAATACAGTTACCTGGACAACTGAATGGAAGAGATCAATATTTGTGCCCATTCCAAAGAAAGGTGATCCAACATAAAGTGAAAAGTATAAAAAATACCATTAATATCACAGACAAGGAAAATCTTGCTGAAGAGAATTCAAAAACTGTTACGCTAGTTCATTGACAGGGAACTGCCAGCAATTCAAGCTGGTTATAGAAAGGGGCTTGCAATGAGAGATTTCATTGCTGTTGTCAGATGGATCTTGGCTGAAAGCAAGACCAGAAGGATGTTTACCTCTGTTTTATTGACTGTGCAAAGACATTCTACTGTGTGTATCATTAAAAAAAAAAAAAAAAAATTACGGATAACATTGTGAAGAATGGAAATTCCTAATTAAGCACTTACTTGTGCTCATTAGGAAATTGTACATAGAACAAGAGTCGATTATTCAAACAGAACAACATGGTTTAAAATCATACATAGTTTAAATCAAGACAGGTGTATGTCAGACTTGTATCTTTTTATCATACTTATTCAACTTGTATACTGAGCAGATAATCCAAGAATATGGACTATATAAAGAAGCAGAAGCATTAGAAATGGAGGAAGAGTACTTAACACTTTATGATATGTAAATTATACAATCTTGCTTGCTGTAAGTGAGATGATTTGAAGCACTTACTGATGAAGTTTAAGCACTCCAGACTTCAGTATGGATTACACCTCAACAAAAAGAAAATCAAAATCCTCACAATGGGACCAATAAGTAACACTACAATAAATGGAGAAAAGATTGAAGTTGTCAGATTTCATTTTACAATTAACACCCATGTAAGTAGCAGGCAAAAAATCAGATGATGTATTGAATTGGGCAAATCTCTGCAAAAGATGTGTTTAAAGTGTTAAGGAGCAAAGACTAAGGTGCACCTGACCCAAGCCATGATATTTCCAATAGCCTTATATGCATGTGAAAACTGAACAGTAAATGAGGGTGACCTCAGAAGATTGATATATTTCAATTATGGTGTTGGTGAAGAATACTGAAAATAATATTGGCAGCCAGAAAAATGAACAAATCTGCTTGCAAGAAGTACAGCTGGAATGTTCATTAGAAGCAAGAATGAAAAGACTTAATTTCACATACTTTGGTCACATTGTCCGAAGGAACCAGTGCCTATAGAAGGATATCATGCTTGGTAAAGTAGATGATAGGCAAGAAGGGGAAGACTCTCAAGGGGATGGATTGATACAGTGGTTGCAGCTATGGGCTCAAGCATACAAATATTGTGAGAAGGATGCAGGACTGAAGAGTGTTTTGTTCTGTTGTACATAGGGTTGCTATGAGTCAGAACTGACTCAACAGCACTTAACTACAACAACAATACAAAGCAGAGGTGTATTTAAGATCTAACAGGTATGGCATAGACTTTTGCCACTCCTTGAGGGGGCACCAATGAACAGTTTCTATTAGCCATCACAGCTTTCACCCCAATTGTGAGAGTACATTCAGCAATTTGACACTAATTGTATCAGGTGCTATTTTTTGTAGATATACCTCTGATGCAAAGGCAGTCAGTCAAACAGAACAAGTGAACAGTACATGGTTTTAAATTAGGAATGGTATGTGTCAGCATTGTATCCTTTCACCATACTTATTCATTCTTTAAAGAAACTCTGGTAGCTCAGTGGGAAAGACATTTGACTGCCAACCAGAAGGTCATGGTTAAAACCCAGGAGCTCCTCCACAGGAGGAAGATGAGGCAATCTACTTCCATAAAGATTTACAGTCTCAGAAACCCTGTGGGGATCAATATGAGTCCAAATTGACTCAATTGCAGTGGGTTTGGTATTCAGTCTCTACACTGAGCAAATAATACAAGAAGCTGGACTATGTGAGGGAGCTCTGGTCGTGTAATGCCTAAGGCATTTGACTGCTAACCACAAGGCTGGTGGTTCAA